GCAGTCTCCAACCCATCTCTCGCTCTCCCTTAAAGTCCCCAGGTGTCTCCAATGGGCAGGTGAGGGCTTCTCGTTTGCTTTGGGGTCAATTAGGGACCTTGTCGGACACCACAGCCCAACCAGGAATTCATGCCCAACTGCCCAGATCCTTACTGACATAAGAAAAGGCTTCAGGTTAGTGGTTCCCAAATCTGACCGCACACTGGAATCACTGGGGTCCTTAGCACCTCCTGGTGCCTGCACATGTCCACTCCCTCTGGATACTCTGCTTCCCTAGGTCTGGATGCCACCTGGACATTGTGGTTGTGAGTGCTCCCAGGTGATTCCATCGTGTGGCAAACTTTGGGAACCACTGTCCCCACTGGAAAAAACTGAGTCTTGACTGAAGTTGTGTGCCTTCTGGCCACAGCACTTCTCTCAGAGACCCCAGGTCTGCACATGACACAGGCAGAGGACCTTCACTGGCAAAAGTCAGTGTCCATCGCAGAGCCTTTCAAACAACAGAAAAACCCCCATCAACCACATGTCCTACATTTATACAGCACTTTACAGTTTGCAAAATGCTTTGCCCTAAGAGACACTATTCAGGCTCCCAAAAGAAAAGCCTGTCAGTGTAGTAGAAAGAACTTTGGAGTCAGGTAGACCAGGTTGAAGTCCTGAATGTGTCCCTCACCAGCTACGTGGCCAGTCACTCGGCCTCCTGGAAAATTCTTCATCCGTATGGCGGAAACAGACACCCTCACCACTTGAGCAGATTAGAGAAAACCAAATAGAAAGAACAGACTATCAGTCGTGGAAAAGGAAGCAGCAATAATTATTAATTAAAGAGCTGAGAATTCAGCCTTTCTCGGAGGGAATGGGGTAGGAGCTGGAAGTTTGCATTCTTGGCGTTGCTCTACCGTGGGCCCTTGCTGACTCCCACAAGCAATTCTAACCCTTAGTGTCTTCTTGGTTACAAACAGTGGTCTGGGAGGGCCTCATTGAGAAGGTGATGTTTTGAGTTGAAACCTGAAGGAGATGAGAGGGCAAGCCATTTGGATACCTGAAGAAAGTCCTGTGAAGAGGAGCAAGTGCAAAGGCCCTGAGGCAGCAGCATGGCTATCATGTTCGAAGAATTTCAAAGAAGCTCATATGACTCATGTGGTGCAGGGGGGTCAGAGGGAAGAGATGGAGCAAGAGATGGGTGTCAGGGAGGCAATGCGAGGGGCTGATATTTAAGGGAACCCCCAACATAAGGACTTCTAAATTGATGGGGGGTCTGAACAGAGAAGGGACATGTTCTGATTTATATTTGAATAGAGTCACACAAGCTGCTGCCTGAGAAACAGACTGGACACGTGAGGGTAGAAGCAAGGAGATCAGTTAGGAGACCAGAACAAAGAGCACATGATCATGGCCAAGGGTTCACAGCTTCATGGGGGACCAGCAGTCAATTCCAACAGAGCAAGAAAGGAGAGCAAATCACACCTGCCAGAGGGGGCTGGGAAAGAGGAGGCTGTCTGGGGCTCCAGTTTAATATCGAAAGATGAGAAGGAGTTAGTGTCCCAGAATCCTCCTGCCACTAATGTCATCTGCTACTATGTGCCTGGGTGCCTGCCACGAGGCATTAAAAGTCTCTTACTCTGGGGGCGCTTGGGTGGCTCGGTTGGTTAGGTGTCCAACTTCAGCTCAGGTCATGATCTTGTCGTTCCCAAGTTCAAGACCTGCATCAGGTTCTGTACTGACAGTTCAGAGCCTCAAGCCTGTTTCATATTCTGTGCCTCCCTCTCCCTCTCTGCCCCTCCTCTGCTCATGTTCTGTCTGTCTGTCTCTCTCAAAAATAATAAAATAAACACTAAAAAAGTCTCTTACTCTGAAAGAAGGAGCACATCATGTTACCTTATAGCAGGGAAGTGTGTGCACAGGCACCACATGCAGGGAAGGAGGGGGTGGAAACGCATGAGATTCCAGAGGGAAAAAAGAGCATGTGCCAATTCGATGAGGTGGGAGAGAGCGAGGGGATTCCCACGACCTGCAAAGAGCCCTGTTCTGCCAGGTCCAGCTGAGGGGGCACAGGGGTGAAGGGTGAGGCTGGGCAGTGGAGGTCGGAGTTCACTGGCTCTTTCCAGAACCATAGATGTGGCGATCCAGACCCAGATCTGAGGATGAGCTGGTCCTGGGGGTCCTTAACAGAGGTCCTTAACCAGACAGAGGCCAGAGAACACAGTGCTAGGAGACCAAGAGGAACCCAGGATGTGGTCCCCAGGAGGATGCAGGGGAGGAGAGGCAAGCAGAGCTTCCCCTTCCCCGGACCGGGTGACGTGCCACATGCTGACGCCCCCTGCAAAGGTCAGATACTGACAGAGATGGGCAGAGCCAGAGGGAGAGGACGAACGCGGGGGCTGGGACCCTGTGACGGTGGTGCCCCCCAGAAGGAGTCTGAGGGGGTGCTCTGGGACAAGCGGGGCTAGAGCCGGGGAGGTGGGCC